CTCACCCTTCCTTTGAAATTCTTAAGTAATAACTTTGATAAACATCTAGAATCTATTTTAATCAAACTTTTCAGGAAGAGTTGTACAATAGATGACAGAATTAGAATCAAAGTATCTCTAAAGACAAAAATGTTTAAAACAATATGCTAAATTTTAACAAGACTAAATATAACAACCAGTATTTTGCTTCAATATGTTTTATGACTTTGACTCCATAAATTCAGATTCAGTTTTGATAAAAAGCATCATGTATCTGATAAAATTGGCTTTTTCCAATTAGAAAGCATTACCAAAATTTATAGAAGGCTAATAAAATAATTCAGTTAATAAATTTTGTATTCCTTTCCTTTAATTAGCTTACAGTCTATTAGAAGATATAAAGATATAATAATGATACAGTGGAGTATGGCCATGACAGTGATACGATCAGGGTTTTAAGTAGAGAAGGCACACCTCACCCTGATTGGCAGGCACAAGAAGTGGCTTCTAAGAGTGATGACACCTACACTGTGTTTTAATGGTGCTTCTTGGCTGTGTAATAAGATACACTGAAGAGAAAAATGGGAGCTAAAGTTGTGAGAGCAGAGAAGTCGTTGATCATTGGAGTCCCAGTATGGAATGCTAAAGATGTTGGCCTTTATCCTGTGAGTAATGAAAAAGCTGTTGCGATATTTAAGCCATGGAATGACAAGTATATTTTTAAAAGATTGCTTTAAAAACAGGGTAGAGTATAAAACAAAGTATGGAGAGACACTAGGGTTTTTAAGGAGTCCTGCATGATAAGAGATTAGAAACAAGACTTACAACTTTAATTTATTCAAATATTTCATACTGTCACGTATAAACATCAAGTGTTGTAATTTCACTTTTATTCATAGAAGAAAATGAACCATGCTACTTCTGCTTCAAAGATCTAATCTAGGCTGGTGTTTTGAAACAGTTTTTTATGGTGTTTTTTTTGTTTTTTGTTTTTTTCCTGTGGTTCCTGCTAAGTGCTGCCAGAGCCCACTTCAAGGGAAAAGGAAGGGCTGAGTGGCTGAACCAGCAGAGCTTTGGGGTCTACAGGTCAAAAAGTATATGAAACTGGATTAGATACATTATGGCGTCCATGTACTACCACATTGAATTTAAAGAGTCTGAACAACGCCGAATTGTGTAAACATACTTAAGAAATATGTGTTGATTCTAAAAGGTGCAGGCCGTCATTCTGATGTAATTTGCAATCAGATAGTAATTAGAAAATTCAATAAAAAGTTTCTAATAGCTCTGCATTCATTATCATTAGCATCATTGTGCTAGTATGTGTATATATATATATATACATATATATATACACACACACATTATTATATAAATGATTTATCTACAGATGTTTGTCCTTGTATGTATTTTATATATATATATATGTAAATGTTATTTAAGAAAGTTTTCAGAAGATTTTTTGACTTCTAAATCATTTGCCAGTGGTAGGAGTTATACATTTCTCCACTGTTCCCTAATCTGGTAAAATAGATATTGCTGTGGAAAAACAAAAAAGCTCAGAAATCTGGACTAGCTATACAACTGATGTAGAAGAAATGCCTTTTATTGGCAATTTCATACCTGGAGACTGTACCATCTGTACAACAGCATCTGGAAATGGGCACATTTGAGGTTTTCAGTGACTGGGGGCTACTGCAGACATTTAGTGGGAAGGGCTGGGTATGCTGAACACCCCACAGCATTCTCCCTCAACAAAGAACTGGTCCACTCAAAATGTCAATAACGTTAAGAAACACTGGTATTTAGGTTCAGGCTGAAGGAGATAGAACAACAATTGAAGCTAGTATTTATGGTGGGAGTTAGGGGTATCCCATATTTTAGCTGTTTCAGCAGCCATCCCTTGGCGTGTAATTTCTCAAACATACTCTTAAGATTCTGATTTTGGAGCCTAATACCCCTTTAAGTGCTCTGGTTATGCCGATTTAAGTCTCCAATCCTTACTTCTACTTTCTTTTCTATTGTGCGTATTCTCTATTCTTCTATATATATTTTGACATACCCTTCTGTGTATATGAAATCCATCCAAAGAAATGTACACTGAACAAAACAGTGATTATGTCCTTGAAACTTTGATTTCAGAATTGCTCTGGTTCATAATAAAGACATTATCCTGATTAGCAATAAGTTTAATATTATTTTGCTTCAGTCATGTATATGTCTTACAAAAAATCCAATCTATTACATTGCCTAGGAAAACTTGGAGGAGCAACAGTTTATTTAGTTAATTTTGAAATGGTTAACATTTGAGGCACCAATATTTGGCTTTTTTAATAGATTCATATCATCATTAATTAGTTGCTTTATTCGTATGTGTATTTATATAAATATATATATATTTAAAAGAAATTTATTAGTGGTAATTTTGTCCTTTCCCATTTTGCCAATTTTATAAATGTATTGGTACATAACATCTCAGTAAGCATTTTTGACTCTCTGGGTTTTTTATTTGCTATGCTTATGTCATAATATGCATATCAGAATATTCAGTCTGGCTTTTTCTTTTCACAGTTGCTCGCATTTGATTATGGGCAGTGAGACTGTTGCATACATATTACAACTTACCATGATGCTTCTTTGTCTTACATGTTCATAAACAGTTTATTATATCTATACTTTTAGGGAAAAAATTGTACTCCTAAAATTCTGAGTGTCACGTATATTTTTTCAGAACAATAATCACTGTAGGTTAAAAAAAAAAAGCTCCATATTGTCTTATTGTAGAGAACCTACCTGATGTAAATGAGATCTTTTAATGTCTCATTATAATAAACATCATCATAAACATTATCACTAAATACTGTTACATAAAATAGCCATAGTGAACATATACCCTGTAGCTGTAGTTAAAAATCATTAGAATTAAAATCTCCTTGCATGAAATATATTAGGAGAAGAATCGTTCACAAACAGGAGCTATATATTTTGGATGAATGGTACAATGTAGAGAGATCAAGTGTGCGTTTTTCTTATAGAGGGAAATGCCAAATTTAAAATAATGTTTACATAAAATCTGGAATAGTGCTTCTTGAAGAAAAAAATTGTTGATTTCAAATAAAACCAGAAAATCATTATGATAAAACTTAGAAACACATACTTATTTCAAAATCACAGAATTTTCAGTGTACAAGCTACTTGTTTTATCCCAAAAATGTGAAAAATATGAAGTATGATTCATCATATTAAGGATGCGGTAGGGGTGACATCTACCCCAGTGTCAATACATTCAAGAAAAGATCCTAGTTGAATTTACAATAACTGTTGGAATATAGAGAAGGGAGAGAGGACTTGCAGACTGAGTTTCAAGAAGGCTTCATAAAGGAGGTGCAAATGAATCCTGAGAGGTAGGTAAGATTTCCAAAGAAGAAACAGAGGAAAGATATTGAGAGGTTAGGTTAATATTGGGTGAGTTTAAAAGATGCTCAAAATAAGAGTTGAGGTAAAGTTCATGTGAAAAAGTAGAGGAAAAGTAAATCAGAAAGGTGGAGACTCTTTAGTTTGTGAAATCCTTTGAATTGAGGAGTTAAGGGGTTTGGACTTTTGTTCATAAAAATTTTTTTGAAGAGAGAATGAAAAACCCAAATCTAATGTCTTAGCCTAGGTTCCGAAGAAAGCACAGCCTGAGGCACACGCTTCTGCTTCTGTGCTATTGTTTTCTAGGGAGTGCATCTTAAAGAACAGAAAGGAGGGGCAAGGGACTGAAGCTGGGGAAGAGAAAGAGCCAGAACTAAGATTTTCTACAGCAAACAGAACTACTCATGAGGCCATACAGGCTGGGAGAGAGAAGACAGTATGGCAGGATGCAGCCACTTTGTCATGTAACTTGCTTGTGCCTTCAGGGCTCCTTGGGTCTGCTCTCATACATACCACATTTCATTTCACTGCTGCACATGCCCAAATATATGGCTTGATGGGTCACATAACTGAGCATCTGTCTTCAACAACACATAGATGACTGAGAGTAGCCTGGCCTGGTGTATCAGGGAGACTCAGGTAGGCTTCAGATGATTATCTCCCATCCTTTGTAACACCTGTCCAGCAGGACGGCTACGTCTTGGAGCTAAGTATTGGGCCATGTATTCTCTCACAGGGATGTACTGAAGTAGTTTTGTTTGCATTCTCTGTTCCAAATTCTGTTGGCTATCTGGTGTGCACAATATCCAACTCTGCGTATGTCACTGAGTCTTATATGTGTTTTAAGTATTTGGAACTTTTGTAGAATGTGTGCCCCATTACTGCTGTACATTTATTAAGTTCCTTTATAAAATAGAACTAGAACTACATGTATATCTTGGCAGCAAGCCAGGCAGAGTTTAAGTATGTATTTCAATAGTTTTAGTAAATAAACTCAGTCTACCAAAAGTCATGGTATTCTACCTTATGTATTAAAATTCTTTACCTAAAGTACCAGGTTTATTAAATTCATTACAATAAACAGACTCAAGGTTACTCATAACCTACTGCTTTAAAAGTCGTGTTGGATCATTTGAACTAACCTTGAAAATCCAAATATGGTATTGTTTCTGGAGCTGAGAAAAATTTAGTATTTTCTAGGATGGAGGCGTTCTTGCCTTACCCCAGAATTTTCCATCTAGGTACTTTTAATATGTCTACATGGGGAATTTTTTAATACAATATCATCTCATTAAGCATGTAGTATTTTGATCTATAACAAAAATATATCTTTGCAAATATGTAAACTATATATAAATAACCTTTTTATTGGGTAAAGAGGCTCATGGAATTTTAACATGTGAGCTACTTCATGATTCCTTCCTGCCTAAAATATTTCAAGCATTTCCCACTGCACTCAGAATGACATTCAAACCTTATTTTAAGTCATTACATGACTGCTTACTACTCCATCCCGTCTCCCACTTCATACCCTCTAAACTCCAGCCTTACTACCTGTAAGCCATCACATGAATGATTCCTTGTTTTGTTTTTGTTTTCTTTTTTCAAGTGTCAGACCATCAATCATCCAGGCGTTCACAGGCCAGAACACTGGGTGTAGACAATCCCTTCTTCTCTCTGCCACCTAATGACACCAGTATGGTAAAGCAACCACATGAGCAGTGCCTCTAGGGGCAGCTGGCTGATCCTTTGTTAATTAGTTTTCAGCACAAACATTTTCCCACATAGAACTTTCCTGGCCACCAAATCTTATCCCCTTGCACACTCCTTCTGTTACTTTACCCACTTTATTTTCTTGAGAAATATATTACTTTGTGAAATTCCCTTGTTAAGGTGATGTGGAAAAGTTTGAAGAGGCTTTGCGCTGCCCTTTGCGGTAGAGCCCCGTCTCCCTGTTGGCTTTGACACTTTGAGGCCAGACTTCAGACCAAAGTGTCAGAGGATCAAAGCAGATATATTGGTGGGATAGTGGTTTTGTGTGTAAACTTGACTGGGCCAAGAGATGGCTGGATATCTGGTTAAACATTGTTCCTGGGTGTGTTTGTGAGAGTGTTTCTGAAAGAGATTAGCATTGGAGTTGATCTACTCCATAAAGCAGGTGGCCCTCTGCAATGTGGGTGGGCATCTTACCCAATCCACTGAAGGCCTGAATAGCACAGAAAAGCAGGAGAAGGTTGAATTATCTCTGCTTGATTGCTTTAGCAGAATATCAGTCGCCTCCTGCCTTCGGCTCCCCTGGTTCTCAGAATTTAAGACTTGCACTAACATCTACAGCATTGGCTCTAAGCTTCTCAAACCTTCAAACTATCCCACCAACTTACTTTCCTGGGTCTCCAGCTTGTAGATGGCCAATCATGGGACTTCTCAGCCTCCACAGTCATGTGAGCCAAGGCTTCATATTCAATTTGTCTGTCTCTATCTCTGTATATACATACGTGTATGTACATTCCTACATATGTAGGACTCTTTCTTGATGAAACATCTCAAAAGTAACCTTTTTCCTATGAATGATAGTAGATTGTATATGCTCCCTTAATGAAATTTACCTACATAGGCATATGTATATTTCATAGTTTTCCCTCTGCGTCATAAGCTCCTCAAAACATTAACTGTGTGCCAAAAGCCATTGTAAAACTTACAGTACCTATTTCTCATATTTGGATAATATTTTCAGAGGAATTAAAAGTATAGTTAGATTACTTTACAGCATTCCTAAAATCCTAGACAATGAAAATGTTAATGATGCATTTTCTCTTATACATTACATTATAGAATGTATTATTTAAAATAATCAACTCTTAAATATTACCTTTTATACTGTTACTGTTCTTTTCCCATATATTAAAAAGCCATATCCAGTACAAGGCAATGAAAATTTGTCCTTAAAGCAGAGGAGGAAGTGATGTGCCTTTTGAGATGGAAATTAAATTTTTATTTGGGTTATTGCATATTTAAGTTAATACACATGAGGAATTAAATAAGGTCATCTTGAGACATTTTAGTGATGTGCAGGCACTTACTAAATAATAGGCCAAACAATAAGATTTTTAGAAACCACTGGTGTAGCAATTTAATGGATTATATCTTTAAAAGTTGTAATGAATCATTCCATTGTATTTTAATTTTTTAACTCTAAATACCTCTGATTAACTAGAATTACTGGTACACTATATCACGGTTTATTATCAAGTCCTGCTGGAAAATGGGTTATCTGTTCTGAGTAGTTGCCTTGTCAGACTTAAAATATAAAAGCCATGCAGAAAGATTCAGATGTCTTCTTCCTTCATCGCTTAGTGTTTATCTCATTTTCTCTGACAGTCTCAAATTAGCAAAAACTAAATCACAGGCACATATATACACTATTCCCTTGCTGCCAGCATTTAATTTCTCTATTTTATTTTAATGTTTGCAAGTGATTAAACATGCATTATCACTTGTGTGTCTACAAGCTACATATCTGAGTTTTATAATTGCTGCCATACGTTATTTTGTGTCTTAGAACACATTTAAATTTGATTGGAAAAAAGCTACCACCACCCAGTTTCAAAGGTGACTTCTGCAAGTTGTGAACTATTCCAAAGAGCTGAGAGGGTACATACCACCCTCCCCTGCCTCCACCACCAAAATTGATAACCAAACCATCCATAGAGAAGCGAATGTCCTCAGAGTCATCATTTTTTTCAAACACAAACAGAAATCACAGGGTCTACCTGTTACCAACTAGCTGCATCAGAGCAGGCCGACAAGACTATGAACTTGTGTAGGGGGGCGAAAAGGAGTAGTTCATTTTCTGGTCTATCTGAATTTGAATCTTTTGTTTTTTGAATTTGAGTTTTCCACAGCATTCTTGTGAAAAGACAGCTTACTCTGAGGTAAGACGATAAATGTGTTCCTTTTTGTATAGCCTCAGAATTTTTCATCTTTCAAGAGATCTTAATGATCCTTGCTTTCTAGACCTTTTATTTTACAGATGATGGAGCTGCAGGATAAATATTTGTAACTCTGGAAAGAAAAGTGAATGTGAGGAGTGGGTTTGGGGCTGTGGTGTTGAGAATGAGCCCTGAAGGAAATAATAAGGCCCATTGAACTGTCATAGTAAGAAAATCTGGGCAAATATGTCTTTATCTGGAGGTTGGATAAATCTTATAATGAACATAGATAAAGAAGATTTGGCATTATTTGCTCTCTTCTGTGCCTTATTTATACTAAAATGAAGGCATTATTGAAGGATGAGTGTTGGAAGGGGTCAGGTTATTGAACGTATTTCCCTGGCTTTGGCATGCTTCTGAATGAGACTGCTAGCCTGGCTCAGAACCTGTTATATAAAAGTTTGGACATTTTTTCAATAAAATTACAAAAAAGAGAAGTTTTTCTAGCCCCTTAGAGTAAAAAAACAAAACAACAACAACAACAACAAAAAAAAACAAAAAAAAACTTGAGGCCTCAAATGCTAATGCATCTGCAATACTGGATGCTCTGTCAGATGCGTGGAAACCAGAGAACATGCTGTTACTGGGCAGTGGGGACGAGGTGACGCAGGCAATGGTGGGTGAGCAGCGTTCACGTACTCCATGAAAATATGCCCAAATCTGGACCTGAGCTTTGTAGTTCTTTACACTTACTGTAAAGAGGAATAAATGATCTAAGAACAAGGCTTTTTGAAAGGTAATTGATATGTAATTCTCTGAAATATTGCTCTAACTGTGTCATATCTTATAGTTGCTTTTATAAATATTTTTCTTTATGAAAGAAAAATTGTGTGTAGATTGCATTTGGACTATCAGAAGATTTTTACGTTGGTAGAACTTCGCTGAGTCTGCTTTGCCTTGCATGGATACTGGCCTAGAATAGGCATTCATTGAAAGAATCCATGTTTCAAGCAGATGCTCAAACATTTTTACGCCAGCAGGACTAATGCCTCTAAGGGTAACATTTTGTGTGTATGTGTGTGTGTGTAACTTATAAGCAGTGAATTGTGTGTTTAATTTAAATCACATTTGGCATACTTATCAGAAAGTATTATTTAACTTTTAATTTTAGGAAATAGGGAAATAATCATTTAGAAGCCAAAGAAATATTACAGCTCTGGAATCACTAGGCATTTAACTGAGGACTGTTGCCATGTTTTCATATACCTTCTGTTGTTCGTGATTATTAATATTTGAGAGTGCTTCCTCATGCAATTCCCCCAAGGCTGTACTTTTACATTGTTGGGACGGTTTTGCAAATACTATTTTATATTCAGTTTTGTCCAGCTAACATTTTAATACAAACATTTTAATCGTGTTACGTTTCCTTTTAATAATGCTATAACTCCTGAATAATCGATGTAATAAGTGCATAATGTCTTATGATTCATGGATCAGTTAAAATCATTAAAAATTACAATCAAGAAAAGTAAAGGCTCATAATATAAAAAGGCAGAATGGCAGAAAGATCTTGGTTATGAGGTAAAGATGTCCTAAAATTTTAAAGCAAATGAGTTAGTGGATATTTACATGTGTGGAGACTGGAGTCACTCACCTTCAGTTGTTCATATTCTGTTACTAAGCTCGACAGAAACTCACCTGGTAGAAGTGGATTTAAGAAAAGCTGTGGTTAGGAGGTGTGTATGTTGTGCATATGCATGCAAAAGTACTGAGAGGTGTAACTAATATAAATGGAGAGAAGGGAATAATTGTTAAGTGATAATTAAATGTCAGGTGTGGTCCTTTGTGTTTTATATATGCTAATAAAATTTCTACCCCCACAGCTGCTCTCTTCTGACCACAGTATGGGACCCATACTGTGGAAGAACCTGTGTGTAAAGGCTATCATAACTCCTCTAAAATCATAACACGTAAACCCAAAATACTGCAGGAATCTCAGCCTGTCAGGGTGTCAGACTTAAAGACAAACCAATTAGACATCTTGAAATAATTAGAATAACTGTTTACTGTAACTTGCTGAAAAATTACAAAACATCTATTTATATAATACTATAAAGCTTCTTAAAATGAGTTTTTATATGTCTCGCTTAAGATCTTTCTTGTCCTTCAGGTGCCCTGAAATCTTTATAATTTTTAAAATTATTTTTTATAAATTTTTGTGATAAGACTACTTGACATAAAATATACCCTCATAGCATATGTTCCAGTATACAATATAGTATTGTTCACTATAAGCACTATGGTGTAGATCTCTATTATTTTGAATGCTCTGACCTTTCTCCCCTTCCTTCTAGATCTATTTGCTGTTGTTTTTACCAGTAACCGTATACCATCTTTTCAAGATCCGTTTAGGGCATCTCAGTGTTTTACCTTATCCAGTTTTCAAATTCTTCACAGTTAATGTCCAGGCCCTGATCTGGGCATTAGAAAGATGGAATTTTTTTCTAGAGAATGATGTGGGAGAGAAGAAGGAGATTATGAATTCACACAAGTGAGATTCTCTTTCACTGCCCTACATCCCAGAAACTGACGAAAAAGAACTATCACCTTACATATAAAGTGTCAAAGAAACCCATGGTCCTTTTACTTAGTTTACTTATAATTATATGCATTTTGTAATAAGTTGAGAAACTAGAGATATATGGACAGCAAGAGTAAAGAAAGTTTTTCCAGATAGTAAAATGTGACTGCTTTGGTCTATAATAAAGTTTCAAAGAAGAGTCAATTGTTCAAAAGTCAATTTGCCATG